TGAACAAAAGACAGTTGTATAACACCGTACAATCTGGGCTCTGTTCACAAGGCTGCAGGCCTGGTTGAAATACTCGGACGTCAATGAAGGTCACCTGTCAACTTAGAGTAGTGCCTAAAGATTACTTCGTGCGGCTATAAATGACCGTTAAATGGAATAATGAATTTTTGAAGGATTTTGAAAATGGAAAAAAATGATAGTCATGCCGGCCCAGCATCATCAATGTTGCAAAATGCCCCGGCACGAAGTGGTTAATCCACTACTACAGTTAGCATATATCAAGATTGAATATTTTGAATTTGTCTTTTTCTGTTCAGGGGAACCAACATTCATCATGGAGCCCAGGAACACGACTGCTGACCAGGGCTCAACCATCAAACTGCACTGCCTAGTGGAAGGGGAACCCAAACCAACGATCAGCTGGCTTAAGGATGGTTTCCTTATCTATCCTGGTCAGAGAATCGCCATCTTGCCTAATAAGACGTTGGTTATTGTGGCTGCTAAACGAGAAGACACCGGCCGATATGTCTGTCAGGCCACCAACTCAATGGGCCCTCAGTCTGTTGGGGTCAATGTCATTATAAGAGGTAAGTCCAGCTTTCAAACTTGGCATGGCATCATGGCTTGCTTTCACCTTTTTAAAATTTTTGATAACTTAGTCTTTAGGTTAGGGGTTGATATTTGTTTACATGTTGCAACCTCATTCAATGATGTGAGGTGGTTCTTAATTCAAGTGCTTAAATGGAAGCCATTCATAATATGTAAGACTCTATATTGGATAAACGTATCGTCAAATTTAGGAGAGTAACTATGAAGCAGATTGCGTTTGCTTTGCTTTTTATGTCAGTGTTGCTCAATGTCTGACATACTTAGCAAAATTGTTAATTTCTCATTTGAAGTTTACATAGTTCTGAAGCTTTCATTAGTTAATTAAAAAGGTACCTGAGATATTTTCATGATCATACCTCTAAGATATTCTTTGTCTTAAGGAAAGGAAACTAGTTTCATTATTGATCGTATTTTCTCGGTACAGTTACATTGTTGCTCAGAAAATTTTCACTCAAGAAAAATAACAGGTTTTGCAAAGTAGTTGATTAATGGCAACATCTAAGAGATCGAATATTTTTCGGCATGTTTGTAGAATTTAGCTGAAGTGTTTGCAAGGCTGGAGTGATACATGTGGGCTTGGCTTATAAAGATTGTGTTGTGGTTTGTCTCAGTGTAGCCTGTCGTCTGTTATTTCATGGATTGTGCTGTTTTTCATCACATTAGTTATGTTCTGTTGACAAATTTGTTTGCTCTTCATGTAATCAGGTTTTGTAAAAATATCATGTAAATCAGACTTTCAGTGTCAAAATGCACAAGAGAAAGTCTCAAGCAGTTTTGAATAACCTTATTTTTGGGGTTTGGGTGAAACTAGTATGGTATTAACTGATGACTGAACGTATTGTGAGAATTGATCATTATAATGCATCCATTTGGAACTGTTTGTTTTGTCCATAGTTCAGATTGTGTGTTTGTCTGTGCTTCAGCTTTCCATCTCTTTGTTACTCTGTCCCCATTGACATATTCCTCCACTGTGTGGACTTTTTTGTGTGTTTGTTTCAGTTTTTGTCTGTTTGTTTGTTACCCATTTCCATCAGCATGTTTGTTAGTTGTTAATACTGCATTTGTGGTTGTTAGTGACTTGACCGTCCTTTGTCCGTTCTCTGTCTGTCATTCAGCTTGCTTGTTTGTCTCTCGTCTCATCTCACGTCTTTCTGTCCCTTTCATGTTTGCCTGTGCATTGCTGTTATTGAATGTCGCTTACATTTTGACGTTATTTTCTTAGTGCATGGACAGTTTTCAGAATGGGGCCAGTGGGGTGAGTGTAGTAAAACGTGCGGTGAGGGTGCACACCAACGACGTACCAGACAATGCAACAATCCGACCCCAGCTAATAACGGCCGGCAGTGTTCAGGGCCGTCAACTGATAACAGAGAATGTATTCTGCCAATGTGCCCTAGTAAGTTAGCCAAGAAATCAACCTTCAACAAAACTCCACTTCCTACTAGACAATTTCTGAAAGTATTTTCAAATTTCTTTTCAGATCAGAACTTTAATTTCTTGCCCTTTCTTGTTTATATGGCACTTTACATTTTACACCCTAATGGTTTCAATATGTCTTCCCCTCTTGATAAAAGTTTACCAAAAATGCACCTTTGGCAGAACTCACACACTAGATAAAATCTCCTCCATCCAAGAATAATTGTCTATTCCCTGCACTGTCTTGTTTCAGGCACTTCATATGTACTCAATATTGTAGTTGCCCTTACATTGGAATTATCTGTCCTCTCATTCCAGAGTTCCAATAATACTTGCACTACAACCTGAATTTCCCAAATAATGTCACCTAATTTACAATATCAATTTGATTTCTTTTAATCCTTTCAGGTTAATCTAAACTCATTTGGATCCTTTATTAGTCTATCCCCAACCAACTTCCCCCAGTTCCTCAATGACATTCCCAGAATTACTGCTACTTCCTTTCCCATTCAGTTATTGAAATCCATCTTTTCAGAAGTAACAAAAACTTAAAACTTTTTCTGAGAACACTGATGTCTTCTCCCCATAATCTAAAAGCTGAACCCTGAATTTTTGAAAAAAATGTGAATTTTTTTCCTAAACAATTTTAAAATCCATGCATGAGCGTTAATATGTGATTGCTGCAGGGAATGCATGACCCTAATTTTTAGCCTAACCATCTCTGCATGTTGCTTTTTTTTTTAAGACCTTGGACTAATGTTAACCAAGAGACTAACAGCACGGCATGTGTGACAACAGAAAATTGACAGAGCATTGTGATCTGTACTTCTTATTTGGAACCATGATGTGGTAGTTGTCAGGGTAACTGGAGATTTTGAATTTCAGAACTCAAAGATATCCTGTGAATTGACCATCTTGTTGACACTTTACAGTTGGATCTTTTAAAGTTTTAATTACCTCTCAGCTCAATTTTGAACTACTTCCCATAACTTTTGAATCCGTATGATTGCCACTTCAGAGTTTGAGTTCAGTACGGTGTTGCTCAAAAGTTATGCTGAATTTAGATTTGGTTTTACTGATATTGAGGTTGGAATATCACCTTTGAAACATGAGTGACTTTAGCAGAACCAGATGGGATAAACTCTCCCTGCAGATGAATTCTTTTCTTCAAAAAAACTAGGTTTAACAGTAGCAATTGAAGGAAGTCTTGTTATAATTCTGCATTATTGGTTTTGTCATCTCCCAACCATTCTTGAAATCAAAAATTTAATGGCAAGCATCGCTCATTTAGGTAGTGAAATTAACACTGCTCTCTCCACTGGACCAAATGTTATCCCTCAGTCGATGGCAGATGGAGCACCTGGCAACCTTGGGGGGAGTGCTCTGTTACATGTGGCACTGGGATTCGAACCCGAGTCCGTTATTGTGATAATCCACCACCACAGTACAATGGTAGAGGATGTGATGGAGCTCCCAACCAACAGGCTGACTGCATTATGAGGAATTGCCCAGGTGAGAATGGTGTCCAAATGAGAATTTCATAGTGTAATGAGTTATGGTATTTTTTTTCTTTGCACACTGAAACATACAATTTTTTTGAAGGTGTTTTTAACCTCTAAGTTAAAGTTATGTTGTCACACATGGGTGAAGCATTAAACAAATTATTACCAACAAAATTTTGCATTTTAACCATTAAACACAGACCAAGTTTTAGTGACCATTTGTCAATCATTGATTTGAGTCGACCTGGTAACCTATGCTCCTGAGTACCATGCCAAATCAGCCAAAGATTGACAAATGGTTGCTAAGCAAATGTAGCCAGTGCTTGTTTCCTGCAACTATTCATCTTGGCTTATTCAAAACAAAAGCTGTTACTATTAATAGTCTATGATGTCATAACCTTACAGTGGATGGGAGGTACGGTCCTTGGACCAATTGGCAGCCGTGCAGCACAACATGTGGTAATGGTGAACAGATTCGAACCCGACAGTGTAACAATCCACCACCACAGAACTTTGGGCGAGATTGTTTGGGACCCGCTATGCATAAGAGAATGTGTTCAGAAAGAGATTGCCCAGGTAAGATTGGAATGGAAAAAAGACAAATAATAACAAAAGGAAAATGGTCAAATAACTTGGCGAATAGAGAAGGAAGTTTTGAATACTTAAAATAGTTCATTTTGGTTTTCATTGTGTTGTCAGAAGAAAGCCATCTAAAACAACAGGCAAAATGTTCGGATTAAATCACATTAGTTGGTGATTCGTCTAAAGCAACAGGCAAAATGTCTGAATAAATCACATTAGTTGGTGATTCGTCTAAAGCAACAGGCAAAATGTCTGAATAAATCACATTAGTTGGTGATTCGTCTAAAACGACAGGCAAAATGTTCGGATTTAATCACATTAGTTGGTGATTCATCTAAAACAACAGGCAAAATGTCTGAATAAATCACATCAGTTGGTGATTCGTTCTGATTGAAACGTAGCTGGAGGAAACCAACAATTTCAAAATTTCCAAATAATACATGATAAGCTAAAAGCAAGATCTTGTGGAGAGATAAAACGTTTTCTGTTTGCATTGTAGTGGATGGTCGCTGGAATGAGTGGTCAGCCTGGACAACTTGTACACGTTCCTGCAATGGTGGCTTGCGAACAAGATCACGAACATGTCAAGCCCCACAGAATAATGGCAGAGACTGTGTTGGGAACAACATTGAACAAGACATCTGCAACGTTGAACGCTGCCCAAGTAAGAAAATCAGTCTTTGAAATTTCCAACAGTTACAATTGGAGGCAGTCTGTTTTATTAATGAGGCTGCAAAACGAACATTTTGAAAAGAGACAGCTCTTCACCCAATGACAAAATGGCAATCATTGGCCTTGGCTTTTATGATTGTTCTTTTGACCTTTGACCTCTTGTTTGATATAGTCCACGGTAATTGGTCTCCATGGGAGGCGTGGACAAGCTGCAGTGCCTCGTGCGATGGTGGGCGACAGTATCGATCCCGTTCTTGTACTCGTCCTGCTCCACAATACAATGGCAGACGCTGTCCTGGCAAATCTCAGGAAGTCCGAAACTGTAACCAGGAGGAATGCAGACGTAAGTATCATCATACATTTTATCTTTGCACCAAACTTTCCCATTGGTTAGTTGGCATTAGTCACACAGCTGCCTTTCCAGCAGCAAGACTTACTACAGTAGTTTGCCTTCATTTAAGTCAATTATTAATTACACAGACCTTATGCCATTATTTCTTCACAAAAGTATTCTTTAATAGTGCAAAATTGGTGTAACATTAATTTCAAAAACTTACAGACAAGAGTTGGATCAATTGTGCAGAGCAGAATCTCAAGGAAGATTGGTCAATTATTTAATCTTCTAGGGAATGGTAACTGGAGTCCTTGGTCAGCATGGAGTCCATGTTCTCAGACGTGTGGGGACAGTGAGAGTATCAGAGAACATACCTGTGACAATCCAGCCCCAGCTAATGGTGGCTTGCCATGTGTTGGTCCTCGGACACAAGTCAGGAAGTGTAATGTCCCATCATGCATAGGTAAGAACAACAAAAGTGCAGTATGGAGCTCCAAAGTGTGACGTTATTTTGAACCAAGAAGTGCAGTGTAAACGAATGGAGTATGCACAGGCATTGGTTCATGTGCTGGTTCTCAGGCTAATGCATTATTATGCATGCAATATATTCACTTCAGTACTCTGCACACAGTGAGGGAAAAAAAGAGATGAGACCTGGAAGATGTCATCTCCAATCTTAAAAAAATGTGTCTTCACTTTGCTGAGAAGCGCTCTCAGGGTACAGGTGCACATAGTCAATAAGAGGTACCTCTGAATGTACAAAATTCAGAAATACATCGTGATTATTTCTTGTCTTCAGGAGGCCCAATTGAAGCTGTGGCCCAAGTATCCGGTAACATTAACGGAGAAGAGTTTGGTACAACCCTGCTCATCTCTAATGTCTCATCTGAGACTCAAGGCTTCAGTCTAGTCAGAGCAAGAATGTACGACATACCGGCCTCTGTTGGTGAGTACAGCCACATTCCTTGCCCAGCTCTTTAAACTTAGGTTGAAAGCTAGATTTGTATTAAACTTAACAAGTGATGCTAATGAGTGCGAATTCTTAATCAGTGAGGTGATAGTGGGGCATATGTCTGATTTGCCTTGTCAGATGTGAGGAATTTCATCAGCATTACGTGAACTTTTTAGTGGCATATGGATAAATGCAACATGCACGAATTACGGGCCATGTTGCAATAAAACTCCTGTTTTGAGTTGTTTAGAAAAGTAAATGTCAGTAGAGTTATTAAAAAAGGGAATATTGAAAACATGTTGCTGATGACCTCTTTCTTGCGTTTCTAGTGTAACTTCCAGAGAACATTTAGTTCTAGAAAATGTGGCGAGTTTCAAGTCTGTTGTTTCCTTGGTAACCAGTTTCCATTATTTTTATTTATGTTTGTCAGGTTATGCTCTGCGATATCTGATCTCTTTAATTTCACCCATCTATTGGACCAGTGCCTATGAAGTTGGTGATGCCATCAATGGCTATACACTCACCAAGGGCAACTTTGAACGAGAAACTGAAGTAGTCTTTGGATCAGGTAACCAGTTTTTCAAACGGCCGTATCTAGTTGCGCAATGATTGTCAGATGCCAGATGATTAGGTTAGGAGTTTAACAGTTAGGATGTAACATTTTGTGTGTTGTAGATCTCCACTAAGGACAAGGTTGTGGGTATGTTCCACCCGACTTCAAAGTGCAAATGATACTTTCTGATACTGTCCAACTAATGCTACTGATAATGAGGGGGTTGGATAGGTCCAAGCTCTTGTTGTAGGTTTCATGTACTGATTATTGTCAACATTGGCATAGGTGAAACCATGAGGATTACGTACCGAGTGACAGGCGTAGATGCAGATGGCGTCCTGAAACTGAGTATCATCGTGACTGGTGAAGTTCCCGAGTTCTACCCAGAGGACCAAGTCATCTTTCTTCCTTATGATGAGGATTATATCCAGACAGGGCCGGGTGAGATCTTTGCCCAATCCCGACGAGTCTTTACGGTTAATGGTATCCCCATACCCTATGCCTGGAAGCATCTGATTAGCTACGATCAATCCGGTGTGAGAATGCCATTCTTGGTGGAGACACTGAAGGCAAGAGGACTGCAGGGGAACTTCAAGCCAGCAGAGCAGATGATGGAATATGGCCTGCAAGTCTCCATACATGAAGGTTAGACATTCTGCCTTCAGCAAAATTTGTCTTATTTGCTGTCGATTAAAATCTGCAGGTCATTGAAATCATATCTTACAAAGAGAGGCCAGTTATTAAAGGCTCTAAACCAGAAATTTCAGGGGAAAATGTTTTGAAGATACGAGTTGATATTTTTGTTTTCTGGTAGACTTGTTCAGAGATACCACAAAAAATCTTTCAAAAGTTGGTTACATTTTGTTACATATTTCTGCTGCTCTTTTACTTATCTCTCAGTATTTTGAACATTCAAATGCAGTTTTTTTTCCTGTAAAACAAAGATTGAAGTTTGGGTCTCAATTGTTGATCGGTCTGCCTTTTTCTGAAACTTACAGAAGCTTAAAAGATTGATTTACTTGATTGGTTGGACTCAAATAAATCTTTTGTCATGGATTTGATTGACTGCAATGCAGGTAGCCCAAGTAACCAGTGCCCACAAGGATTCTACTTCGACCAATCAGGACCCTTTTGCAGAGGTTGGTAGCCATATTCTGATTTCTCTTCAAGTGGTTTTTCCCCAAGGTTCTGCACCTAACATCCATCAAACCCAAAACAACCAGCACTCACTCTACTACCCCTGCCTATTTCTCTCATCAACCCTCTCCCAGATACTGTCTTGCACAATAACTTTTCTCTACTGCTCTGAAATATAGACTGGACCTCGCTACAAATATTATGTCAAGATAAAGACCATGTTCCAGCTTGGATACCACTTTCTCAGGGGTCGTTCAAAAATTATTCTTCAATCGCACACTTTACATGCATTCACTCCATCACAGATGAAGACGAGTGTGCACAAAGTGGAACGTGCCACCACCGATGTAGGAACACACCTGGCAGTTACGAGTGCTCATGTTTAAGAGGTTACAAGTTGGATCGCAACAACAGGTGCTCTGGTAAGAAATGAGTCGGTAGACTTTCCCACTTTGTTTTTTCCACCTTCCCTCTATGCCAGCATACCAAAAGGCCATGGGAGAAGTTGAAACAAGGTAAGATCACTGAATATTCATTGACTTATGTCGATAACTTTGTCTGATTGACTGTCAGAGTGTTGGCTGGCCCCATCCAACAGTCTGTTTTCTTGGAAGTGCAGTTAAGTGTTTGCAATTACATTGAATGCATTAAATTCTTTCCTAGACATTAATGAATGTGAGGCAAAGCCACAACTCTGCTCAGCCAATCAGGATTGTCAGAACATCCCTGGCAGTCATCTCTGTTTAACCAGTTGCAGAGCAGGTTTCAGGAGACTACCAACAGCTCTGACATGCAGTGGTGAGTAACACTTTGGAAAAGAATCCCAAACAGAAGACAAAAATACTGAGTGAAAAATCTGTCACATTTTCTTGAGGATAGATGGAAGAGTTAAAAAGTTAAGCACCCATCAACCAGTCTGCATACAAAAATATCCATCCCTGGCAATTCAGATTTGTAGGACGTATATTTCATTTTAAATCCTCTGAAGAATGTTTGGTATTTGTCTTTGCTCACAGTGTGTTAAAAGTCAATAAGACAAAGTTTCTTGACATGGATTTTTCTCTCTCTTGTCTGACATTAGATGTTAACGAATGTGAAGATATAGATGATTTGTGTGATCATCAGTGTCAGAATACCTTGGGTAGCTATAGATGTAGATGTAACCGTGGCTTTGAGCTGCAAGGAGGAAGCCGATGTGTAGGTAAGAAGACTGAGAAACATACAGATAGCCTTTCTGAAACCTGTTTGCAAGTTCCAACAATTTCGATCAACAAATTGTCAACCAACGGTTGATTTCAACTGGTAATCTATGCATGAAATATATACTGGGTACCAGGCAAAATCGACTAGTGGTCAACAAATCCAACTTGCCTGTAATAGAATGAAATGATGGAATTCAAACCCATATCTGGGTGTACTTTACATATTTGCAATCATTCCGATTCCAGTGCTAGACTGGACAAGTAGAGGAAAATTTCATCACATGATTTCATGATTTGAAAATTTAGGAAAGTGATCAGATGTTATCCTGAAAACGTAAAGCAAGATTTGCAAAAATGTAGAGCATTTGTGCAAAGTCCAACTGCTGTCATTTTTGTTCTTGTGTTAGACATTAACGAGTGTGAACGACCCGATGCATGTGTATCCAGAGATCAGCAATGTACCAACACACTTGGAAGCTTCACTTGCATAACTGTTTGCCAGAATGGTTTTGAAAGGGCACCTAATGGATCCTGTGCTGGTAAGGATGGAAAACAAATCAGCCTGGTGTCCTATCCACATGTTGGCACCGTACTAAAAGCTCCTTTGGCAGTCATGTAAATTTTGGAAATACAGTTGAACCTTGTTAATAACAGCACTGTTAATATAAGACTCTGCTTATAACAAGGACATTTTGAGGTCTCAATCTTTTGTTTTTCATCTTTTTCATTCCGGATACTGCAAGGTTTTTCTTATAACAAGGTAATTTGCCAAGTCTGGAGGACCCCTTACTAACAAGGTTCAACTGTACTTTTCGGGCCTTATTCTGAATATGAACAAATAGACTGTGTTTCAAATTGTTTCATTCATAAACTCGCATTTTGGGGGGCCAGTAAGTTTAAATTTCATTCAGTCTTGTATGATTTCATGTTTAAAGCAATAATTTTCACAAAAGACCTTTTATTTCAATTTTTCAATAAGGACCTTTACTTTGCTGAACAAAAAAGGTTTGAAAGTGAACTTCTTCCATTTTTGCTTGTTTTGGTTGATTTGATGACAAAAGACTTTGGGATATGCTCTACAGATCTTCATAGAATTCACAAATACCTCCTGCATATTTTTCCCCACTAGATATCAACGAGTGTTCAAATCCCATATGGAATCGTTGCTCTCGTATTCAAACTTGTAAGAACACCTACGGTGGCTATACTTGCCTGTGTCCCAGAGGATTCAGAAATGACCAGCAGACAAATATATGCCTTGGTGAGAGACTTGAGAATACCAAATTAAATAAGTTTCAAGACGTAAGCACGGGTTTTGCCCTTAAAGAGACATATATTCAGCTCGTGAATTTTTGACAAGATCTCAAACAAGCACTGAGTACATGTATACAGTGTTCATTAACCCTCACCGTCCTCAATCCTTCACCTGTTGGAGGACTGAGGACTGTTAGAGTTAAAATATGTCGATATAAGGGCAAAACTCATACTCAAAATTAAATCAAATAAGTGTCTTAAAATAAAATTCAAGTCCACACTTGAAACCTCTAAATGTTTGTCTCATCTCTTTGATTAATTCAAAAATCTATAGCTGTACTGAATATTTCAAATCTTTAGATATTGGTGTATTGAAAAGAATGGAAGACTTAAATTGAAGAGCATTGTTACATTTTGAAAACCTTATAAAATTTATCAAGGGTCAGGATGAATGGTTGTGTGGGTTTCACATTGTCACTTCAGCTATCTAATTCCCCACCACACCTCCTCATAAACCTTTTCAATGTGTTTCTTTATTGTTTACCTAAGATATTAACGAGTGTCGTGACAGCCCTTGTAGCTACGAGTGTCGTAACACTAGGGGGAGTTACGAGTGTATCTGCCCAGAAGGTATGCTGAGGTTGAGCGACCGTAGGACATGTGTGGGGAGAGCCGTAGGTCCAAATGAACAATTGATTGTTCCTACTCAACGGCCAGAGATTTGCAGTCTGGGTTACCAGCTTGTCAACAATGTATGCATTGGTAAGTGGATACCAGTGAGTGTAGCCAGTCGCCATCTTGAAATGTACCCTTAAACTTGTGCAAATCTTGGTTTATTTTTGCAATTACACAAGTATACCGTCTTGCATCTGTAATGATTTTGGAGAGAACTCCATTGGACACAGTTCTACTCTCCTTGCCTGCAACATCTGTGATTTATGCTTTTTCATCCCCGCTTAGTTCTTTGTACTTTGATTCAGTCAAATTGGATTACAAGCAACAGACTCTCATGAGAATAAACTCTTCCATTTATGCTGTTCCTCCAGATGTTGACGAATGTCAGGTGGGTCGTCAACGGGGCCACAGTTTCTGTCAGGGAACTTGTACGAACACAGAGGGAAGTTATACTTGTTCCTGCCCTGCAGGTTACAGGCTGAGCGAGGACAAGACCAACTGCAGAGGTAAACTTATCAACAAATAGTACTATTTAAATTGTTCATATATATTCAAGTGAGGACTTTCAATACGGGCGATTCACAATAGTGTGCCACCAAGAGTTAATGCATTAGCCAATCACAACACAAGAAAACTATGAACTCTTTCCAAGCACACATTGGGTCGACAGATTTCATGCACTGTGACGGGCCAACGCGTTGCAAGTTCCTGGTGGCGCACTATTGTGAAACGCCCGTATTGAATGTGCACTGTACTCATCTCTGTGCTAAAAAGTTGAAGGCAAGGTCATACTTCAGGCTAATGTGAAAGGGAAGTGCTTTTGATGTTGCAAAAGATGTACAGGAAAATTTTGCTCAAGTTGAAATGTGTTCAACTTTTACAAATTCACTGCTGGAGTATTTGATATGACATCACAAAGTTGTGTTTATGTTCACTTTCACACGAAGAATGAACCTGCCTTTAGTCAACCCAAGTACGTTATATTTACAATGTTTAGCGGTATGTGTTACAACACAGTCACTTAAAAGCATTCAAATTGACAGTTGATTTCTTTGTAGTTCTTGAACTTGCAGAAGCTGTATTTTAGCAGGAATTTTTCCAGAAGATAGCTGTTGTGCTAAAGTGAAGAGGATATTGGCAACACACATTGATAGATTGGATGTTAATGAAATTTATTTATCTTTTGTTGAGGAATGGACAGCTTGCACTAAGACATCAAAATCTCATCATTTTGTAGATATTAACGAGTGCAAATCAGACCGATGCGGACGAGATAGGATGTGCTTCAACACCTTAGGAAGCTACGAATGTGTTTACGTCCCATGTCCAAGGTTCTATCGAAGAGCTGAACTACAAACCTCAGAAGGCACTCAGTTCAGGTAAGAGGGAAAAAAGGCCTGAGCTCATTTTTACGAAGTTGCAACAGGAAAACCAAAGAAATCACTTTTTTCTTGTCAAATGTCTGAATTTACAAAAACTGAGGAATTTGTCTCGTTTGTCATAGTTGCATTAAAGAGTGTCCCCGCAATGCTCCTGACTGCTACGATCTTGAAGATTCCATCCGTTATAAGACTTTAGCCCTGGCCAGAGATTACAGCGATGGATGGCCGACTCGGGATCTCTTTGAGATGAAAGTAGTCAACATACGTGATGGCAGACCTGAAGAAAATTCCTACTTCACCATCATCGATGAAAGAGGATCACAAGAGGTAAGACAAAGTTCTCGGTATTTTGGAAAACGGGCTTTGCAAATGAGAAATCTGTGAATATTCAATCATACATTTCTGACTTAAATTGAACAGGAATTTTTCCAGTTAAGCACAAATGGTAGTCTTCGAACTGTTGTCTTGTAGTCTTCGTGATATTAAGATTGGTTAATTGCAATTTTTTTTTCCATTTCTAGTACTGTAACTGCATAATGCCGTTCAGAATACGGCGGCAAAATGGTAAGACACTCGTGGCTACAACTTCCACACTGGACAAGCCCAAGCAGTATAAACTGACTGTCAAAGCATCAGTCTACAATGAACAAAATGTCTTCCAGTATGCAACCAGAGATATCATCTTCATATCGGTGTCTGCATATCCTTACTAAGCAATCAAGCTAGGGGGCACTCTTTGCAACATTCATTCGTCAGCCCTTAGCTGCCAGGTACATGTATGCTTTTCTTTAGATTACGCTGTCATGTAAGGAATCTTGAAAGGTTTTGTCAGAAAACCTACACAGCATTGGGAAGAAAATCAAAGTTGCCATGAATCAAAGAATTGTCCTTCCTGTATGATGGGATATCTGTCCATTATTATTTACTAAATTTGGTACGTATATAAAAAATGTATATAAACACTAGCTAGGCTTGTTATTTGTGCGTGTTCAAAAGCTGCCTTACTGGTAGATCTATCTACAGAACTAACAAGTAGACTTTTAAAGAAAGTATTTTGGGTGTCAAAATCTATTTTTATCTCTTTAAAATGTTTTATTTTTAACGGCTGATAATGGGGCAATTTGAAACACAGTTTGCTTCTAGCACTGGCATTTAATTACAAGCCCGCTGCTTAGGTAACAAGTATTGTTATTTCTTAAATCTTGATAGCATTGTTATTTTTTGTTGAAATCATGTTGGAGATCTTTGGCAACATTCTGTTGGTTTCTTTCAAATTAACTTTGGTGAGTAACCATGCACAGCTGACTAAGATGGCTGAGCTGTCCTGAAAATATGAAAGAAAAGTTTATATTCTCGGCCTGGGAAATGTAGGCTGATAATATACAAGGTCAAACCCACTGAAAAAAAAAGTAACTTAGGGCTTATCATGACCAAAATGGACATTGTGATATCGTGTCTCGAATCATTTGAAATTCTTTCATCCAATGCAGTAAGTTTTGTGTGGTAATTTTTGTGTGATTTTTGTAAAATTGGACACTGAAAACAATAATAGTTCATAAACGGCTCATTTTAGAATTGTTAGTAATCAGAAATATGTATGTCATTATCTTGTTAAAATATCTTGTCTTCACTCTGAACTTTATCTTTTAAATTGGATACAAAAATGATATTCCTGGTTGGAATTATTGGAAGTGTTAGCAATGAAATCAAGGAATAGTCAGCTTTAACCTTCTGTTCTATGTATTAGATAACAAAACCCTTTTATAGATTTGTACATATGTATAATTTGTAATTGCAGACAGTTTAATTTTAAACAGGTTGTTTAAAAGGCGAACAATCACTAAATTTCGGAAATTGCTCGACTAAAACCTGTTTTCATGAAAAAAAGGCAACATTGCTTTTGAACAGGATTGAGTTGAAGTCTATTTGAAAGTTGTGTTTGTGTACAAAACAATGGATTTTGTCACAATTTTTTCTTTTTTTCAGGAATTTTCTTGGTTTTCCTGAGTACAGGTCTCAATAGTTTTCCGTTTTGTATTTGTGCATGCAGATGCCATGTTGTTATTCTCCTGCATATGTCTGATCAAAATAAAATAATCTCTAAAAACAGATAACATACTGTTCACATTGATTCTGCAAAAGTGTGGATGGAATGGGTCGGGGAAAAAAAAGGGCTTCAGCATTTTTGGCTTTTGTAGTTTTCAAGCTCCATTTAACTTACCAGTCCAGTACAATCCAGTACACCTGTTACTGTGAGTATACTCATAGTCAGCAGTCAATGTGTTAACATGCTTTGTGACAAGAATGTCAAAATTTGACACATCTGAGCAAAAGATGCAAGAGCAAGGTTTGTCCTGTTGGTGCAGCCAACTGGTACACTAACGTGTGTTGCATCAGCATCAGATTTAACAGCCTTTCTCCTCCTACCTCCCATGTGGCAATGTAAGTAAATATTTAGGCAGAGCTGATTTGAAATACAGGGTTGGTGGCAGTAACAGGTGGTCGCATTCATGTCTGTCCATCTTGAGAGGCCCAACAAATTTCATCTAGTCTTTGGAGAAAAGTTACTGTTAATTCAATGGTACTATGTACTGCTATGGGTATACCAAGAATAACTAGTTCTAGAACTATAGAAGGCATTCCCCAGTCTGCATGGGTATCATGAGGCTTTTGAATAATTTGAAAGCAATTGTTGACATTTCAATGAGATGGACAGCAGTCTTGAAGTACGCTAAAGACTGTACTGGGATCTCATTCATAAGATCAGAATAAACATTTATTTACACTCATCTGTAACTTGGTTAAAAATAACTGCAAAAGTCTTGCTGTAAAAATAACAGGAAAATGTTCAGTGTTGTATATTCCAACTAGATCTTTTGCAGAGACATTTAAGTACAGAACTTGGAGCATTCAATCTGTATCACCTATCATCAATTTAGTAACAAAATAAAATTTAAAAAAAGTAAATAAATGGTAGGTGATCCTTTGAAGTCTGAAGAACCGGTTTGAAAAGGTGAAGGAGGGTGTTTATCAAGTGCACATTTCAATACACTAAACTCCCTACATGGCAAATCGCTTTAATACATCACAAAGTTGCACAAACCAACAAATCATGGCCTAAGCCCTAAAAACAGATTTGTGATACCTGAAATTGTATGAGGTGAAATCACAACCCTCAAATATAAAAAATTATAGTTACAGAACATTCCCCCCAGAAAGTTGAAAGCTGTGTCAATCAATGACTGACTGCTGTAAAGTATGAACGGCATAACTTTCAACTGCCCAAGGCTCTAGTCCATGTACAAATATACATAATGATTATCTGGTTCCCTGTTTCTCCGGCATAAACTAAACTAATGACCAACGATCAGGGCAACAGGCCGTTACGTCACATCGTCACCTTCTTCAAACTCTCCACCCTGTTGAATTATAACAAGAAAGCTAAGAAATTACACTGTTGTTGCTAAATTTACTCCTATGTTTACATGTACATCGGTTGCAGGACATTTCTCCTAGGTTAACTCCTACAATAGGCTACATAGGTAGCTGAAGAACAAGATCATCACATGATATGATCATGTGGTTTGATGTTGCTATGTGATGAGGTCACGTGACATGAGGTGGTGACTGATAAAGATCCATATTTTTTCACATCCTTATGTGGTAGCAACAGCTGCTTATTCCCCCAAACCCAACAATTACATTACACTGACGAAGCATTTTGGCCTCGCTCTCTGAAGAGTGTAAGAAATGCTCACTTTTCCTTCAAATACAACTTTCCAACTCCAAGCTAACATTTTCCTTACCTTCTCAATCTTCTCATCAAGTAACCTGAAAAATTCCATCTGGCTCTGCGAGATCACCCTGCAATAAAACAATACAGATATCAAATGACAGTCTCAACTGCCCATAACAAGACAGCAATATCTGATCCCTGACACTACTGCATAGAGCAAGTGTTCGTGACTAAATCTCTTTCAGGATCCCATTACGTTGACTATCGAAAGCCTTCTCCTTGGCTGATTTCTCAAGCCGCAATCTGAACACATTTTTAAACAGATACAGCTTCCATCATTCCAGACAAATCTTCTGAACGGACGAGCTCTTTTTTCCGCTTGGGTTCTGATGACATTCACAATCACAACCTTAGCTGGCAACACTTAAGCATGATGTTTATAGATGTTGTACATAGATATTCTACAAAGAGATCTTTGTCAGTACCACTCAATGTTCTTGTTATTTATGCTTTTGAAACGATCTTAACAAAAGCACAGATGTGAATACAAATAAAACTTCAGCAACTGCAGATGTAATCCCTGCTACTCTGTTCAATATTTCCAAGCTGATGATTTTATATTAAAACAAGCTACGTTTCAGTGCTTGATTAGCTGATTGTAATGCACTTATCAGCAAGCTAATTGATTCATTTGGTCTAACCAGTCTACACTTGGGAACTCAAGCAAGCAAGCCAATCCAGCTTACGAGACTGAACTCCAATTTCCTCACTGGAACCACTTACTTGTTATTGTGAGCCAATGGTCCGGCCTGAGGTGTCTCTTTCCTCTGTAGTTTTCGCAATCCAAGGTCCTTCTGCAAATTTGTTCATCGAGGAAGAAAAGAACATTAAAATTCACACAGATGAAACACTTTGCTGTATTTCATGTGAAATCAAACTGTCAGACAAATGCCATTCCAGACTACATTGACTGATATGAGACTAAATCCCACAAACTGAGTCTGAAGGATACTGACAGTTTTTGCTTTCATTTTTCCTATTTTCTTTGCAATGATCGTGATTGTGTGCACTGCAGGGACGTAGTGATGGGGGGGATGTGGCACCCCAATAATTAATTCCAGTCAGCAGATAGAGCTTCGGTCAGTAAATAAATCCAAAATTGGTACATAAAGAATACAATTTGGTCAAATGGATTATTCAGTAGGAAATCCTACATAGCATTGTGTTTCCAAGTGTTACACTTTCTGAGTTTTTTCTCAAAAAGTGCTTTTATTGAATCAAAAAATGTGGATAAATGTCTAAATATCTCCGGAATGCAGTGCACTACAGGGGTCATTCATTAATCAAATTGTAGCTTTTGATGTACTCAATCCAGCAATATCAAAATTGATAACCTGAATCTGTCGACTTATTACCCATTTATCTAGAGCCGGTCACATATTTGGTCTTTTATCAGACCTCTCAAACATCTTCTAATCCATAAAGATGGGGTAAAGTAGAGATGTTACTTTGAAAAAAAATCCTGTTCAACCGTCACGTTTCTGGCCACGAGTGACCTACCTGTTTATTGAATTACATGTACACCACTTTTTTTCAAACAAATACAAATGAAAGTCACATCGAGGTGGAATTCCTATCCTGAAGACAAGATATTAATATTTTCCTTCAAAAGTCATGCCCTTGACACAACCAATCAGGGAATTCCATCTCATTTCATGACATGAGATGAACCTTTCTAAAATGATCAACGACTTCATTCTTCACTTTCAGACAAGAAAATGAACTCCCGGGCCTTTTTCATATTGCTAAGTCTCCTGAGATGTACCAATACAATGCATGCTTTTGGTTAGCAACGTGAGGATCCCTGAATCAAATGCATTATTTTCAATTGCATGGCACAATCAAGTCTATAAATAGCAGTTCCTTTTCAGGAGTTGGACATGAGAACGTGGGAATCTATTGGATTTGAATGAACAAATCAAAGCCAGGAAGAAAACTGAGATATCTCACACTAAATTGCATTTTTGCACTGCCTTACCTACGACTTTTTAACTGTTTTACTCACCGATAGGCTGATTTCTCGAGATACTTTGGGATTGATTTCTTCCCCTGCAGCCTTTGCAGCATTATCTTCTGTTTTCTCACCCATCTGACCACCTGTTTGTCCACTGTTCTGACTGCTGTTTGTGTCCCGGCTCTGTTGAACATTTTCCTTGCCTGCTTTAGTACACTTTGACTCTACTGGGGGGAAAATTCAATGTTTTGATCATGCCAAGAGTTGAATTTTTGCACTGAATTTCAACTATTTAAGGAAACATGCAATCAAATCAAGCAGTCTCCCAAATAACTGCGCCAAAAATAATAGGATTTTCAGGCAAATGTTTTGAGTTTTATGTTCAATCAACATCTTGTCTGCCCGTGAAGCTCACTGAAGTCATCACTGTTCAGTGCTCCAATGAACCAAGTTTTGTACAAGATGGAGAGTTCTTCAAAATATATGTCCAGAAACTAAACTAAAATTTAAAAAACTATATGCCTAAAAATGCTACACTTCACTTTGTAAAATTGATGATTTGATGCTTTCTGAAATATCACTTCAATCATGAAAACTGGAACAGCAGTCATACATATCCAGTACATATATAACAAGCAATATTCTGTACCAGGATAATTTAACCTGTCCATGTCTAAGGACACACACAAAAAATAGAAATCCATTAACAAGACTGCATTTCCAGATAAAATCCAATGCTGGCATGCAATAGCATTGACTCTGCTTGGAGACAGGACTTAATTACAGAAAAGATTCACTTCATTTATGAAGGAATTATTACTCCTGGGAGATCTGACAAAGGAATGATCAAAATTGTTATTACTTTCCCAAGGTTGGTTGCATATGAATCCAATTTTCCACATGTGCTTGATTTCCCATATCGAAAAATTGCGACCCTATAATTCTGCAAGTAAACCGAGATTGGAAACATTCAGAAATCACAAGAAATTCAGGACACTTGTGAATCTATTGAATTGTTTTCTTTCATTCTTAAATAGCGAATCTACATGTATATGATCCCTTCGATGATATTACTGACTTGTGACAATATGGCTACATTCTTTGAAATCCCTCTGAGTAAAATGACTACTGGGAATGAACAACATAATGCTTCAATAGTCTGGGGGGGGGCTGCTAAATTGGAAGAAAATGCAGTCACACACAAGAGGGGGACCTAGCTTGAATTTCTTTCTTCAACTATAAATCTGGCCTACTACCTTGCTTGTAGTTCTTGAGGATATCCCCATTGCTTTTGCCTTTGACAGGAGTTGGATGATCCTGTGACACTGTCTTGGTAGCAGAGCAGCCCATGTCTTAGACAGCAGCCTTCATAACCTGCTTGATGTGATCTCGTAGTTCTAGTGGAATCTTCTCATAGCCTGACTAGAGGATTGCAAAGCTTATTCACCTAGTGTCAATTCAAGGGAAAAAACAGAGAAGACATTGGTTATATAAATAGACTGAACTTCCACAAAAATTACGTGGTCATTTCAAAGTTGACCCATAGGTGTTATTACAGTCTCAAGTTGTAATCACATGATGCCTCTTCAACCACTAGGACTGTGACAATTTGCAAAAATGCACAGATGCATCAAATTTAAGAAGGCATGTGACTAGAGAGTGTGGCATGACCATGGTAATGGCTTCTAGACAAGTCAGAGTTGTGACTTATTCCTGAGAGGGAATCTTCACTGTTTACCATGAATATTAATGCTATCACACAGTCACACAAAACACCAATTGCAAATACTTCTGATTAGTATTCAACACAACGAGAATCTGCATAATTATTCTGCACTATAACTAAGACACTGGGCTCCAATTTAACGGCACTTTGCGACTGAAAAGTCTTATGACACAGTAAAAGAATACTTCAGACATTTCTTTTACATTTCATGTATGCAAGAGAGACAGAAACATGCCCTATCACTCTGGAACATACCACAAGCTAATTTGAAAAACTCAACATCACCTTTTCAAAATCGGCTTTTCAAAATGCATGATACTTCAGCTAACAAATCGGATAAGAAGCTGTCATTTTGTTCACCTTCTGGTTGTCACAGTAAAGACATTAGTCCCAAGGTGAAAACAGAACAGAAAGAGATAGCATAAGGAAGAACCGTCTCTCCAAAAGGTCTTAAAAGCTTCTGACATAACAACCATGTGATAATTAAATCAGCCCGTTGTCATTCTATAACTGCAGTACATGCATAAGCATTCCAATCTCACAGACTGCCAGATATTGCAATTAAACAATTATATAATCGTTATCGCTCATTTTCCCCAGCAGTGACATATAGTATCAGCCTTCAGAAAGCGGTAGCATATCCTAGAAAGTATTGAAATATTTATTGAGAAAACAAATACAATTTTCAGACAGGACCACAGGGTCAATGGATGTCCATGTATGGACTATGCACTCACTGCCACGAAAAAAAAAGGAAAACTGATTTTTCGTCTTCACCAAAACACTAGCAACCTGAACAGAGATTTAAATCCAACAAAAAAGGAAATTGAAATTGATGCCAATTTTTGTAAGTCGGGTAACCAGTACCTAGAAAATCCATTAATGCCATGTTTTTTGTTTTAGTCAGTGCCCAACATGAAGAACAGGCTGGATAACGACATGACTCTGAGCGTGAATAAGAGAAGTCAGGTTCTCTTTCTTGATTTTGGATTTTAAGATGTGTCACAGAGGAAGGTTGAAGCCATCCAACACAAACACGGCATCCGATTATTACCCTTACTACAGCAAGGGGAGAATTAGGAAGAGGAACTGCGTACAAAGCACATGGCACGTACCACAGCAATTTAAGACCAAATACTATCACCATTATCAAATTACAAACTGAATGACGGTCATTGGCTAAACTATCAATTAGACAAATGAATTTCCTTTCTGTTACCATGGTGATAGAAACACTTTTCCGTTACATAATGGGAAAATTTAATGCACGAGCTTCTTCAAATCTAATGGCCACTTTAGCAGTTCTTGTCGGAAGTCACTCAGCAGGCCCAAATCAAATTTGATAAGTGCATTTCTTCTTACTTAGACAATGAGACAATAAGTCCTCTACAGATTCCTTTGGATCAACTGAAAAGATTCCGTGGGCAAGTATGATCTCGACAGCAGAGAGCCTTGAATGACAACTAGCTGTCAGCCCCAAGCAAAATCCGGCAGATGCTTTTGTCTCATCAACCACAAACTTTTTATATCTCTCAACAATAGTTCTTTTCCTTATGCACAGGCTTCACAACTCATCATGAACAGGTGCATTCCAAGACCAGAGATTTCAGGACAAGATGCCCTGATTATTTCAGGCACATTTTGACCTCCGCTCAAAGTAACCTCCTTGAAACCACCAAACTCCAACACCATGCAGAAACAATGACAAATTCTTGCTACTTCAACTTTTTAGAGGCCAGACTTTCCTTTTTTATAATCCTACAAATTCCTTTATAACCTGTTGGCAGATTTTGAAGGATTGTAGTCCCCTTCAATTTTCTCAGACTTGTCCTCAGCCAAGCATCGGGCCAAACAACTACAGACAATCTTTTTCATTGGTACAATTGCTTTCAAAGAATTATCCTCTTTACTATTTTTGAGCATACATGTAGACTACACGACCACACAAGTTTCCAGGCACGCAGTCCCACAACTGAGATGCATCTAATTTGATTTATATATGTTTTCATCTGGATGAAAGCCATCAAAAAACCCCTTTCATTTGGCCTGCTGATGTCACAAGTGAAGCCATCAATGATTTAGCAATGACGCATACACCCATTTGCACGTAGGCATTCCACAGTTCCGTAAAATGCATGTAAACTCCTAGAATCAATAAGATTTTTCAAATGCCAAGGACACACGTCAGGCAAATGTAAACGTGACAGTTTCACAGATCTACTGGTCCATCACATCAAACACGACAACCAAGAGGATGGATGGAATGAAAACACAGAGGTGTTCTTGAGCGTCAGTCCTGGTGGCAAACCGTGCAATTCTGGGGGTTATTATCGACTGGGGCAACACAGACGATGTGATCACACAGAAACTGACAAGCTGCTACGGCCAGTTGGCCACTCTCTCTTGCCAAAACTCTGCACCTGGTCCTAGGGGAAGATATCAGCTCTGTAGGTGTTTCCAGGTTCAGGGTTGACTTGATGACAGGTGTCGTTGGGGTAAATGAAATGTCATTTTCACTGGTCAGGGGATTCAAGGATTTCAAACCCTCTCTTGAACCATCAACAATGGGAAAATAAAAGGAAGAATTAATAAAAAATGCTTATTACTGCCAACAGCAATTTACATCTTTTTGTAAGAGTGTTTGTCATTTTTTTGAATCGTCATATTCCACTGGCAATAATTTTAAAGAATAAACAGTTGCCAGCCTACCGTTTCCATACCCTTTCCATGGCAATTCGCATTATTATCACTGTGAATCGCATTCAAACAGATGGACATGCAATTTAAAAATGTACCTTTCAAAGCATTTCAGAACTATTCTTGAGTTCAATGCACACTGGCAAAAAAAGATCATGTGCAGAACATTAAGGTTTTCACATCACTTTGTCCAAGTAATGTTGTATTTCCTGAGGGAATGAGGACGGAATACCTTGATAGTCGGAATAGGTTTGTACATTTACATTAATGAGACTTTTCACATCACATTTGCAAAATTGCAGCATGGTCATGAGACATATACAGGCCAAACATGCACACATGTATGTGTTCCAAGGAATAAAATATTCTCTCCTAAGCTTCTTTATTTTGTTTATACAATGTGCAGTGGGAATTTGCCACGAGGAATCCATCAATTTATATTTGTTCAATTTCTTTCTTTGTATGGGGATTCTACATTGATGTCCTCAGAAACAGCAGTCCTATGCTTATACATCCCTTCAAATAATCGAATAATACATGCAACAGAGGCATCATCTTGCTCGTGTCCACATGTATTTTCACTTAGCTGTTACACGGAGTATGCAAGGAGAATCCATGGTAAAATGCCCCTCGTGAGAGGCATTCAATCAAGATGCAATCAATGCAGCCATGTAACCTGCACTTACTTTATCTCCACTTTCAATTTCATCCTCAGCGATGCATCGTTGCCAAGGTACAGTAACCAAGGAATCTGTACCTTGATACATCTGTCTCCCACACCACCAACTGTGATGTGCATATCCAGTATAGTTACTGGCACATCACCACCAAGTGTCCATATGTATCTAGTGTCTAGCAAAATGCACGAACACGAGATAAATACCTTCAAATTGTTCAAACGTTTTACCGTTGGCATGTTACTTATCAAACACGATACCTAATGAATTATCCCACTGCTGTGCTTTCCAAAGCCATTCTACATGTCCATGTTCTTTGTAGACACACTGTGCTGCGGCATACACACTGTCTCGCATACTGAAATAATCTGAAGTTAAAGTTTAACACAAGTGATCTATCTACCCACTTTTTGCCAGTGAGTGACACAGGAATGAAACAGAAAAAAAATGGGGTCTACAGCAATTTGATGGTTAGAAATACAATTTGAATTGTGCTCTGCCTTACGCTGCTAGTTGCAACTGACGTACACGCTTGGTGCATACTGGTAGCTCCAGAGTTGGGGACGTACACAAATATGACCTTCCTTTTCTAGACCAATTGAATTAGCTTTAAACAGGAGATTACAAATAGAACACCCACATGTTACTTCATGCCGCCAAATTTCTCACAAAGGAAACTCTTTTAGCAAAGGTTTTAGGCAGAAACAACATCCTGAATGTTTTTGACAAGCACTGTAATTTGTGATCTTTGTGAATAAAATTATTCTTTGTATTAGTGAACTCCACATCCAGACACAAAAAAAACGACAATCACGTTTAGTACAAGGCTTGGCCATTCCACACTCATATTATTCCTCATTTGCTTTGGAATATACTATTTACATTTCATATTAACATGTATTGACTCAGCCTACAAATACACATCCATTCAAACAGGTGGTTAAAATGAAGACCAGCAATGAACTCTGCTCGCACAAAGCCCATCGAATCATGACCTCAATATTCAACCAATGCAAATAAGTTTACATGTACATTGTACATCTAGACTCCAGGCAGCCAAATCATCCCTTCATTTGAATGACTGGCTTGTTTGCAAAGTTTGTTGCATTCTGTCACCAATGCTTTCCATCTCCATGGAAACTAACAGTCCCTCCCATCAACAAATCAGTCTTCTAGCACTCAGCTCTAAATGTAGTCCAGGTGTCACTACATATGTGTTTTACAGCTATTACACAGCTTTGGGCCAGGCACAGGTAGCCTACTGCAAAGACAGTGAGACTAGACACTTTTAAAGTAACTAGTGTCTACTCCTTGCAATGATAAAACAGGTACATGTGTCACCAGCAC